TCTCTCTCTCTCTCTCCAGACACACACACACACACACACACACACACACATTCCATCGATAGGATCGACCCAACCGTCTCGCGCCGCTTGGCCTCCGCACCCCGCCCGCGTCAGCCTGCTGCAGCTGCTCGGTCGTGTGTACCTCCGTCGAAGTGGCAATGTATGTACTTGCGTTCTGCGGCCCGGGGTCGCCCTTTTTCGTTCCCCCTTGCCGGCTGCCCGACAGCGGTCCCGCACGGCGGACGGGTCGCTAAGCAAAAAAGTGCCAATGTATGTACTCCCATTGTCGGGCCCGGGGTCGCCCTTTTTCGCCGTGGCCGCTTCCCGACACCGGCGCGCCGTCGGTTCCCCCGTGACCACTGCCCGACAGCGGTCCCGCGCGGCGGCCGCCGGTTTTTGTTGGGCCCCACGCAAGGACCGCTGTTTCCTTTAGTGGTATAGAGATATTTTTCCCCGATGTAGCAGAACCGACCCTAATCCCTGATTGTTTGTCTTCTTTTCCCTTGCCATGGGAAACAATCATCAAAACAAATCACCACAGTTGGGGTACTCGAAATTTACTAAATTTAGTGATACAGGTCTGAGTATTCGACATTCCTCTCGACAGAGATTCGAGCAAATATTGAACACCTTAACCTTTGAGGGCCTTTGAAGCATTAAAATTGAGTAAATCTTCTGCTCAATTACATCGCATGGGAAACTCAGCAGTGATCAACCTCTAAGCATCAGTTCCATTCCAATTTCCGAAAGTCCTTCCCAATATGCATCCGTCTGCACGAAGAAGTTTTTTCTGGAACTGCTCACGGCTCTCTGTCTATTTCATGCGAGAGAGCTTCTCTACTGGCGGACTTAGCAATGTAACGCTAAAGCAAGTTCACACCAAGAGGTACCTTTCTGCATAAGATGATAAGCACTCAAATCTACTCAAATCTAGTGCAACTTTGATATCTTCCAGACAAGCAAGTTGGGCCTTATCAGGGGTGACACGGAAGGTTTTCTTTTTTCCTCTTTCCTTTTCATTGGATTCGGAGTTTTGACAAGTGAACCCTCCATTAACAGTTACAGCCACCTTAGGATTGCAACTCTAGGATAGCAAAAAGCCTATCCCATCGAGCATCATGTTGTGCCCTTGACGCAGGGCTTTATAAAGCGTTTCGCAAAAACAGATAGCTACAGGTTCACCATCTTATGCGCTCTTCTTAAACCACCAGTACATGGTTCCCCCGGCAACTTGAGAACAACGATCCGCTCAATCCGAAAAGTTCTGAGGCTCGGGGGATTTCGACCCAAGTCGCTGGCAAAAACGAAAACGCCAAGAGCTCGCGTTTCAGCAGAGATCGGCGCACAGGGGGAATCAGCCGTGTACAACAGAGGCTCGTATGTACTGGTTGTTTGGCGCACAGGGGGAATCAGAGCCTTGTACAAAAGATGCTCGTGTGTACGGGTTGTTTAAGCGTGTGCTTGTCATCAAGAAAAGAGTTTCAATCACAAAGGCAACTTGTCTAAGGCACTCACTCTGGGCAGAATTAATTACTCACCGGACGAGCTCTGCAAACGTGTGTAACAACTTCTGTGGGCGCTTTAACTCGAATCCAAGTTCAATTGCGCGTCCAAACTCGCCACTGGACAAAGCATTCGACAAATCTTGATCTTTAAGCAACTCTTCTTCGGCCTGCCTTTCTGCTTCTTCCTCCTCTGCCGCCGTGAAGTCCGCCCACAGATTGACCAACGCATCACTGCCACCCGTTGCGATCATCTCCTGTTTCGAGTTTACAGTCAATGCCCATATCTGCACCACCACACCCAACAATAGTGGTTTCTTTTCGATATTAGTTTGATTCCCAAACGACACCCCCCCCGATATCCACCCCCATCTATCGGACCCAACACAAGAGTACTTCATACTACCATTTTGTCTTCACCCCAACAGAACGCCCGGTCAATATCACTGCACGTGGACTAAAAATTGCCCCAAATACATCTGTAAATGACTGGGCGTTCTATCTGGGTGAAGACGGTAGTTCGTAACTTCATAGTCAATCGAGCCATCAATCACCAGAGCTTCATAACAAAACGACCACACAACCCCCTGCAGGCCACGTCAGCAGAGCTCCAAAACAAAACCGCCACAATCAATCAAGCCAGCAGTGAACAAAAGTGCTACATAATCATGGACCGCACAATAAAACAACATAGCATTCAATCGGCAGATGGACATACAGTGGGAAGGGCAGAGCAACAGCAGATTTCGAGCCTGCAGTGAGGACAAATTCAGAGTAAAAAACACAAACAAAGACCAAGAAAAGCGAGCATAGGATATCGAGTTATTAACTTTGCAAGCAACCTGCAATGAAAAACAGACCAACAAGCCTAGGGAATCACACACTACATGACTATAAAATGACCAGAGGGTTGAAACAGATTGCCTTGAAAAGCAAGAAGGGGGGGGGGGGGGGGGGGGGGTGTGCGGGGGGAGGGTGGTCACCATATGACACCTCAGAGCACCACCCAAAATCATTCAACAGAGAATGGCTACAATGGCTCACACACAGACAAGACAACGAGAGTAATAGATGAATCACAGGCCACCCTGCCCCAGTAAAATAAAAATTATAAAAAAAAAAACAACTAGCATGGTTCATTCGGAGACTAGATTGGTGAGGGTGTTTCCATCGTGCCCTCTAGCAATGATAATCAAATTTAAATTTACGAAATTTAATTCAGTTTATGATTACTTGTAATGCTTCATAAATCAGGATGAAAGCAGGCCCCAAAGGGTTAAAACGCGCTGAGTAACTGATCATGAAACGATGTTCAGTTGTTAACACATACAGTCACAAAGAACTGCCCAGTGGAACCATACACAGGAAGGGAGAAAAGGATAACAGATGTTCATACTTGCAGCCACACTTGCGCCTTGCTGGTCCAGTTGCGTCATAGGCAGCAGGTGCTGCTGCAGAAGGAAAAAAGGAAAGACAACAACAACAAAAATGAAGAAGAAGATAAATGGCCGAGGAGGCGGCGAGAGGAGGACGGGAGGGAGGGCGAGAGGGTGGGAGGAGGTGGGTGGAAGGCGCGTGGGAGGAGGTGGGCAGGTCTGCTGGAGGTGGGCAGGTGCAGGTGTGTGGAAGGAGGCGGAGGTGTGTGGAAGGAGGCGGAGGTGTGTGGAAGGAGGCGGAGGTGGGTGGAAGGAGGCGGAGGTGGGTGGGAGAAGGTGGATGGAAGGAAGGTGCGGGGAGGTGGAGGTNTGTGGAAGGAGGCGGAGGTGGGTGGAAGGAGGCGGAGGTGGGTGGGAGAAGGTGGATGGAAGGAAGGTGCGGGGAGGTGGAGGTGGGCAGCAGGACGCAGAGCAAGAGGTGGGAGGATAGGGCAGGCGCTGGCAATTGTGGGGGAAAGGTTGTGCAAGGCAGGGGGAGGCAATGGTGAAGGTGAGGGAAGGTGTCACGATTGGATTGTGTGGGGTGAAGAGGGAGGTTTTGGGTGGGGGGGCAGGCTGGTGGCAGCGATGGAGAAGATGTGTCGCAAGGAGCGGGAAGGGGGAGCCGATGGCAAAGGGGAGGGCAGGTGCACGGTGGCTTCTTTTTTTCTCATCCTTGTGCAGCGCCCATGCTAATCTTCTATCCCGTTGGAAGAGGAAGAGGAGGAGGAAGAAGACAGGAAGATGATGAGCAGGAGGAGGCGGATGACAAAGACAAAGAGGAAGAAGAGGAGGAGAAGTATGAGCAGGAAGAGGAGCAGGACGAGGAAGTGGAAGAGGAGGAGGAGGAAGAAAACGAGGAAGATGAGGACGGTGAGGAGGACGTGAGGAAGACGAAGGGGAAGAGGGGAGGAGGAGGAAGGACGGCGTCATCGTGTGCAATGGACGGGAGACCTACCTGGAAGATGGCGGCGATGGCTTTTTGGGAGCAAACAGCACAGCGTCCACGTTCTGGACAAATCGACAGTGAAGGATGGCGTCATCGTGTGCAATGGAGGCGAGAAAATTGCGCACAATTTCAAATCCGAACAAGGCCCGATCGGGACCGTAGACCTTCAAGATCTGACGGCCATGATCGGGCTTTTTTGTTCAGAGCCCTGGGCAGTAGAGGGCATCCGCCACTCACCGCCCAGGCCCCAATATGGGCAAGAACGGGTCTACCCCGTTTATCGCTGGGCCCGGTCATTTGGCCCCGGCCGAACATCTGGGACGGACGTCCGCCCGAACATCCCAAACATTCGGGGGGGGGCCAAATGTCTGGGCCAACTTTCAACTTTTACTTTTACATCAATTTTGGATTTTTTCAAATACCTATGCTTGAGTGTTTCTTGCCTTTCTTGGTACAAGCGCATGCCGTGGGCCGTGCATCTGCTGCACAGCAGTGCACCACAAGTACAGAAATGCACGCCCGCCGTCCCCTTGAAAGTATGATATCTACATTTAGCCACACGCTCGTGCCTTCGACTCACTCGGTAGTTCTTTATGACTTTATATACACTCCCAGGAGAGCCCTCGACAGAACATTCCTGGTAATGCTGATGATAATTGATGTTCATTGCAGAACAGGAAGTGGGAACGGACGTCCTTCGGGACATCCGTTAAAATTGGAACAATACAGAGAAGATTAGCATGGCCCCCGCGCAAGGATGACACGCATAAATCGAGAAATGGTCCAAATTTACATAAGAAAAAAAAGAAAAAAAAAGAAAAAAAAAAAGAAAAAAAAGAAAAAAAA